CAAAATATATAAGCAACTATTAAATAAAAAAGCAAAATAAAAGACTGCAACAGAAAAGTTAGTAAAATGTGGGAATGCGAATTAAAAGGAAAGGAAACTTGCAAGGCTAACTACAATTCACCAGTGGGAAGAAAATTGCAAATGAAAAAAACAATGAGACCGAGATCTATTAGACTTTGAAAAATTAGAGAGTTGGATAACTCCAAGCCCTGGGGGACGGGGCACAGAGAAACCTTCATAGGCTGCCGGTGGAGTGTAGACCACTGCAGATTGTCAGAATAGCATTCGGGATACTTGGTCAAATTGCATAGATGTATGCTGTATAGCCCAGCATTTCCACAATTTGTTATACATCAAAAACGTTCACACTGGTCCATAAAAGGGCAGGTGGGGGATGCTGCTGGCTGTGGCATTATTTGTGAAACTGAAGAGTTGGCTGTGATCAGTTGGTCTGATCATCACTGGGACAGTAAACACCTAAACTGTTGTTGAGGTGCATCATGGAAGATGATGCAGCCATTAGTTGAAACCAATTGGTTGTACTCTTCACTACTTGGTCAGATCTTAAAAACATTATGCTGTGTGAAAAAAACAAAACAATATACTTTATAACATTATGTAGGAACATTAAAAGCACAGGCACACAAAAATACGTATTTTGAAAGAACGCATACAAACAAAAACTATGTAGGAAACCCATTGGATTGGGTGGGTGTATGCTCTATCTGTGTGTCTTTAAATCTTATCACAATGATCACATTGGGGACACAGAAAATGTGATTTTTTTTTTCATGTCTGTCTTATTCTCTACACTTGAACATTTTAAGGCAAGTTATTCTCTTTTCGTTTAAAAAATATTTTATTGGGGAATTAGGGGAAGGAACATCATTGGGGAATCGGGGAAGGGGAACAGACAAGTTGCTGTCTTTTTGTTCTTCAGTCTAGTTGTGGAGGATGTTGCTCCACTGGCCCATGTTGGTATTGTGATCATTACACTCTTACCGGATGAGGCAGATTGGCCACTGCCATTAGGTGGCCCGCTCACGGCAGCTCTTGCATGCAGCCGGCAGCTCACCCTGGCTGCCAGCCACTCACGGTAGCTCACGGCAGCCCACTGCAGCAGGGGCTGCAGCCTACTACGCCGTCACCAGCAATTCAGGGCAGACCAGCTCCAGGTCAAGCTGTTGTTCATCATCTTAGCTGTAGAGGGCGCAGTGTCACTGGCCCTCATGTGGGATCTGAACCCAC